GTATTTCCCCTAACAATTTCCAACAATAAATAGATACAGGCAAGACGGTTCTCTAAAAAAAGTGGTGATTTGTAATTGCTTTCCCAGAGAAAAGATTGACCGTATTGTTGCTCTGGGCTTTGACATCAAGCATGAGCCTTTACAGAGAGCTGATTTCAGGAAAGTTCCCCAACAGAATTATTTGTATTGACTGCCTGTCAGAGGCTGCGGAAACATGCAGATGCAGAGAAAGTTCCCGCATGTGTCCTCCAGGTATCCACATGGCCCACTCTTGCGCCTCCTTCAACTCTTTGCTCAACTGTCATTTCAATGAAGACTTTTATGATCACTCCATTCCACTTGCATCACCATTCAGCATATTCAGTTCTCCTTGACTCATTCTGTTGTCTCTTTTTCGCCATCCTATATAATAAAAGGCTAATATGCAAATAGACCAAACAGAACAACCGAACAACCGGTTGCTATGACATGCTCTGACCACCAGGGGGCGCACATGGAACATGGTGGACGTCAGCCATGACGGGATGGTGGAGCTGGTGAGCAGGGTCGCCAGACCAAGGCAGGGCACCAATAGCTGTCATTGGGGTGAGCCTCTGGTGGTTACTGAAAGTTCTTTGCTTCCGTGTTGCTGCAGTCCCGCCTGGCACTCGCACCTGCTGCTGGCGCTGGCCCCAATCACTCCGTGCTGTCATCAGGTGCGAGCGAGTGGGGCCGGCACTGTGGGAGCAGCAGCAGTGGGAGCAGTCTGCCAGCAGAGAAGGGACCGGGGGCCACGGTGGGAGGGGCCAGGCGGGGATGCGGAGGATGGGCTGAGACCTGCCCCTGTGCCCATGGCAGCCTCACAGCCCACAATTCCTTTCAAGGTGCACAAATTCATGCACTGAGTCCCTAGTTGTAATATAAGCTTCATGAACCACTAGATTTGTTTGTTTGGTTCACTTGTGTATATTCAGACCTATAACCTTAAAGTACAGTAAGAGCTAAAAAGGTATTTTAAAAATTATCTTTATTTAATTGTAAGGTAACTTTTTATTTTGAGATAATTGGAAGAAATTATAAGAAATGTAAGAAATGAATTTAATGAAATTGTAAGAAATGGATTTTAAATTTTAGTGTCTACATCTTCCTTGCTAGCACAACAGTTAATTCCTCAGTAAAACAACTGAATGTTTAGCTAGTTTTCTGTGACCTGGCCAAACTCACTAGTTAATTCTGTTTTTTTGTTTTGTTTTGTTTTTGTTTGTTTGTTTTTGTAGATTCCTTGAGAAATTTTACATAGTTAATTATGTCCTCTGCAAATAAGATAATTTTATTTTTTGCTTTAATTGCCTTTTGTAACCTTATTGCACTGACTAGTACTTCCAACACTATGTTGAATAACACTGGTTGAAGCAGACATTTATTCCTGCCTTGTTCCTGATCTTAGGGTGAAAGCATTCAGTCCCTCTGCTCAATATTAAGTAGGATGTTACCTGTTGGTTTTTGTATTTGCTCTTTATCAAGTTGAGGAAGCTGCCCTCTATTTCTATTTCTCTGAGATTTACAAAATCATGAATGGGTGTCAAATTTTGTCATATGCTTTAAGAAAATCAGTTGGTATGATTATGTTATTTTTTCTTTAGTCTGTAAACATGGTGAATTACTTCATTTTCTTCAATAATGAGTTAGTCTTATATCTCTTGAATGAAACCCACCTGGCTATTATATGTACTACTTTTTATATATTCCTGAATTCTCTTTGATAATGTTTTGTTAAGGATTTTTAAATCTATATTAGTAAGAGATCTTTTGTGTATAGTTTTCTGTTATGCTTTTGTCTGGTTTTGGAATCAGGATAATACTAAGTACATAAAACAAGTTCTACTTTCTGGAAGAGATAGTCAAGAATTGGTGTTAATTCTTCTTCATATTTGGTAGGAAAACCATGTGACCTGAAGTTCTCTTTTTTTGAGGGATTTTAAAATGTAAATTAAATTTACTTAATTATAAGGCTGTTCAAATTATTTCATTGGTAGATTATTTTAATTTTTTTTGAATAATGGGTCCATTTTACATAAGTTGTCAAATGTCCGTAAAAATACATCTTAAATTATGAGTACACTGAAGATATCTTAATGCAGAATTGTTTATTTTCTTAACTCCTGTAGTGTACCTGCAGTGTGTCTATTTCATCAACTCATTAAATATACCCATCTAATGTTTCAAGCTCCAAACTAAGTCATCTTCAATTCTTCTCTTTCCCTTATTCCCAACCCTATTTATTGTTTCAAAATATATCCAGAAAGCAACCTCCTCTCATTTCCACTCCAGGCCAGGCCACCAGCATTTCTCACCTGAACCACTGTTACGCCCTCAGAGGTGTTCTTTCTTCCATACCTGCTCCCCACGATCACCCTTTTCATAGCAGACAGATCACAGAATTTCCCTAGTCCTTGGAGAGATATCCCAGCACACAAAGACTGAAATCCCAATTCCTTACCCTGGCTATAAGGCCCTACGACTAGTATGCTCTGACTAGAGCCCTGTCTTCCTCTATGCAATCATCTGTAAGTGCCTCCTGGCTCAGGAGGTATGCCACAGCAGCTGCATCCTTCTTTTTGTTCCTTTAGGATGCTTGGCCCATTCTCTGCTTGCAGTCTTTGCACAAGCTTCTACCTCTGTTGACATGCTCTTTCCCCCAAACATCTCATGGCTGATGGTTGGCTCCTTCTTGTGTGATTTGTATCCCAGCGTAATTAAGAGATATCTTTCCTGACCACTCAACCTACTGACTTCCTATTTTACCAGTCTGGTTTCAATAGTCTCTGCAGCACTTACTCGTAAGTGATATTTTCTTATTTATTCCTTGTTTAATTGTTGTTTATTATACTGACGTGCAAGCTCCTTGGATGCAGGGGCTTCCATTTCTTCCTGACTGTTCTATCTCTGGCACCTAGAACCATACATGAAACATAACAAAGGCTCAATACATAATTTCTGCATCAATGCATGAAAGTGCTCTGCTTAGTATCTTACCTTATTTCACTCTCCAACAAACAAAATAAATATTTTGATCCCCATTTTATAGATAATAAAACGAGGCTTTAAAATAATTAGCCCAACCATACAACCGCAGTAGTGTATGTTTTCTGCCTATTTTAAACTAGGGACACCATCCCTTATGGCAAATGCATGAGAGCAAGAATTTCAAGAAGCATGTTGCTAACCTGTGTGTATGGATCTATTCGTAGCTCAGACACTTTCAACGAAAGTGCTGAAAATTTCTAGAGAGCATGCTTCATGATTTCATTTAAATAATGATTCCACAGAGTCTGGTGGGAATGGGAAGGTTTATAGAAGACAAGGGGTTACTGTTAAATCTGTTTAATTCTAGGATTTTAGGATTGCTTCTTTCTTTATTGTAAAAGAACACCATTTCATGCATGGTATTGTTGGGAAATATTAGTTCCAACTAGAATTGTCACAACTGTCAAGAAAAAAAAAGAGCCTGTCTAGATATTTAAAAGCTGGAGGATGCATATCCGTATGTACTAAATCTCTTTAATATTTACATTTATACAAAACAAGCAAAAACAAAATAAACAGACCAAATCCCTGGAGTATAAATTAGAATGAAGAGAAATCCTGCAGCCTGCCCAAGGATTTAAGAATGAAAAGAAAAACAAAACCCAGACAAAACCCCTTCGCCTTTAACTAAGGCAAGCCTATAGCCCTCTGGCTTTCGAAGCGACTGCCTACCTCAGTAACATTGCCTTTTAATAGAAAAGTACTTGGTGAAAATTGGAGACTCTCCCAGTGGTGCCCACTAATAAAATCAGTCCATTAGGCCCTGGCCAGTGTTGCTTAGTTGGTTGGGCATTGCCCCATGCACCACCCGGTGGCTGGTTTGATTCCTGGTCAGGGAACACGCCTGGTTCCAGGCTCGATCCCCAATAGGGGGCGTGCAGGAGGCAGCCGATCCATGTTTCTTTCTCCCTTCCTCTCTCTGTAAAATTAATAAAAAACATATGTTTTTAAAAAGTCCATTGGGCCCTAGCCAGTTTGGCTCAATGGATAGAGAGGCGGCCTGCAGACTGAGGGGTCCAGGGTTCGATTTCGGTCGAGGGCATATGCCCGGGTTAGGGGCCCAATAGGGGGCGTGCAGGAGGCAGCCGATCAATGATTCTCTCTCATTATTGATGTTTCTACCTCTCTCTCCCTCTCCCTGCCTCTCTGACATCAATAAAAAATATATTTAAAAAAAACCAAAGAAAGTCCATTGGCGGGGAGCTAGCAAGTTGCAATTTGCCTTTTAGAAATATGAAGTAACTGAAGAAGGCTCTCCTCTGAGGCTAACGCAGCAAATTCGTTTCGGAGCTCAGTCACCTGGAGGCGAAGCATAGGGGCTTAAAAGTTGTGGTTTCCAGGCTACTGTATTTTAAAGCATATAATGATTTTTTTTTTCCTGATTTCCAAATACCTGAGCCTGGACAGTGCAGAAAGCAGCTGAATTTCTCTAACAGCTGATTTTCCACCTCTGTGCCCCTGAAGTGGAGGGTATTTCTCTGTGACTGAACAGCTTCTCGATTGGGAGGTAAACCTTCTACTCTGCTTTTTAGAGTCAGGGTCAGCGCCTCCAGGGAGCCGTCCCACCAATTAGGCTTTCTGAATCTGATTAACACTGTGCCAGGGAACTGTCTGGTGTCTGACCTTGAGCAGCATGCTTCCCTACTTGCCTTTTATTTTTGGAAACATTTTTGCACAGCCTCGGACCCTCAGACTCACCCCGCAGCGGGCTGGATTGCATTAGCAGGCTCCTTTTATGAGTATCCGAAGGGTTGCAGCCCCAGTGACCTGTCATCTGTCCCCTCCCTGGCTTCCATGCTGATTCATTGATGAGCTGGCATCCAGGCCCCGCCTCCCTCCGAGTGGTCGGTGAGGTTGTGATCGCTCCAGGAGGGGGGATGCTGAGCTGAGCCTCCGTTGGTCCCTACAAGTGTGAAGGGCAGCCTGTCTGTGCCACAGAAGAACTTGGGGACCATTCTGAGAAGCAGCCTTTTCTCACCACCCCGTTCCTCTTCTGTCTGTCTCGGCTTCTCTAGCTTTTTACAGGAATTTCCGATTGAGGCACTAACAGCTAATTCCACAGGAGTTGTGAGGCAGCCTGTGACACAAACTGAGACAGAAGTTTCCCCTCAGAGGCTGTCTCTTTTTTATTGGCAAAGACTTCTGGCTCTTCTCAGAGGAATACCTTGTTGCTTAAGATGAGTGGCTGTAGAAAACGGTGTAAACGTGAAATATTGAAATTTGCCCAGTACCTTCTCAGACTATTAACAGGTTCTCTTCATACAGGTAATGACTTTTTTATTTTTCTTCAATCGAGGCCGGGAGAGCTTGATCACGAAGTTGAAATGGAATAAGAAAGGCTCACTGTGTTTCTGTGTTGTGTTTATTCTGAATGTTGTCACTAACATACAGTTGGTGGGTGTTTGCTGAGATGCACGTTGCTAGCGATGTGTGCAGTGCAGCTTTCATTGAGGGTCGATCTGGATTCTGTGGATGTATTTTTCATGTTTCTGACAGGGTTGCCTTGCCGTTGAATGTGCCTCAGTCTAAGCAGGCAGTGTCTTCAATGTGGAAGGAAATTTTTTAAAAAATGCTTGATTGTGTGAGGGGTTTTTCCCCTCTCTCCTGCTTGCTGCAGTTTACTGGGGAATCACATAGCTGTGTTTAGAGATTCTGCAGGTATTTAGCAATTCTGCAGGTACTTAGAAATTCTCAAATTCTTTGATCACTCTAATCCATAGATTATTTCTAGGATTTGGTCATACAGCAGGGCAGTGAGAGAGTGGAGGACGTTTCTCTTGGGTTTGCAAAATGTGAAAGCAGCTGAAGAGTAAATTGTCCATAAGAGAGGTTTGATATTTGTTTCATTGCAGGGGATTTCAGTGTTTAAAAATTTGCATGGTTGAAATAGAAACTCTTATCTAGATCTAAGTTTTTATAGCAAGGAAATATTTTTAAGATGTCCCCAAATCATGAGCCTAAACTGATGGGCACCAGTTTTGGTGCCCATGAAATTTCTAGGCAATGCCTCATTAACATAGTGACAGGTGGGACCAAAACTACTTGGAATCTGTTACAGAAATAGATATATTTCATAGACCACCAAACTCCTGACAGGCAAAGCTTGGCTAATATATTGCATTTTGATTTGATTCTCCCCATGAAGAACTATTGTATGTTTTCAACTTATATCTGTTTTCTTTAAGTAATGAGGAAGAAGAGTTTGTAACAAAACCTATACACTGTCAGACAAGGCAAATGAGAGCAACATTTTCTCTAGGAAATATACTCTCTGGTTAAAAACAGAATTGCATATCTGATTATACTGACAACCTGAGCAGGAAAAACAATTTTGAGACAGTGACTGTGAAAATCAAATGATTTCTGAGAGCATTATTAAGTATTAATAACTATAAAAGGGTTGTTATCAGATGCGAATCTTTAAGCAGTGCAAATTGAGGTGCTTTTTGATGCTTTTGGAGTAATCATTGAGAGTCTTTACCTGACTTTTCTCAACTTGGAGCTCAGGTATATTTTTTCAAATGTAAATGTCTACATTTCTATTGTATAAACTTCCATCCGTGTGACTCTGCTCTGTAGTATCAATGTGATCAATAATATCCATGTGGTATTTGCTTTGAGTATTCAGTTCAGGGTGGTGTGCCATTTGTGATATCATGTTTCATGGATGATACTCAATATGTGACCTTTTATCTGGCTATAAAATTAGAGAAACATTTTATAAAGAAAGCTGTCCATGAGGTTTCCATGGCAGTCTGTGTTCTGCTCTTTGATCAGGCAAGTTAAGGTTCTACCTGTGTCTGATTAGATTTAGGTGCAGGGCTGTGCCTCTCTTGCTAAGTCTGTGTATAGTTTTTTTTAACTCCCGACTTAAAATAATTTTATGAAGATAGTAAATGGTTGTGAAGTCATAGACCATAAGTATCGAATCCAAAGTAAAGTGGTTGTCAAGTGACTGGATAGTTATATAGAATATGAAGTTTATAGAAAGCTAGTAAGACAGCAGTATTTTAAGCCTTATAGAATGCATATTTAAAAGTCAATAAAGATGGGATTCCTTCTCTTCTTTTTGAGCCGCAGTAGGAAAAATATAAGAACTCTGAGTAGAACAGACAGATTATAATAAAGTAGTAAGATTAATTTTTACCTGGGAAATGTGATTACAGCAACTTGTGTTTTGTGAAAATGCTTTTTGACTCAGTCTCTAATGCCAAATGTTGTAAAAATCCAGCCAGAATCTTTACAACTTCTCAAAATGCAACTTGGAAAAGCCAATTTATGTATTTACTAGAAGCAGTGATAATATGCACTGTTCATATTGCAAAATCTAATGTAAAATTCATTAGGGCACTTTCAAGTCCCTTAGCTAGTAATTAATGAAGAAGTAGGAAGCAGAGTTGAATTAGTTGTAAAAATTTGCTTTAAGGTTGGATATGCAGTCAGTTGCTAATTGTATCCTGAACAATCAACAAATGTCTTGTAGTTATCAAAAATTTAAAGCAATATGCATATGCCTTGAATAATTTTATTTTTCATTTATGAAGAAGCCCTTTATCCTCACTTTTCCAATTAAAGATGTGATCTGAGGAAATAGTGATTTTGTTTTACATTGGAAAACAGGTTGATTCTGAAATGCATAATCTGTATTGTTGACAGTTGCCTTTCATTTCATACCAAAATGTCCATGCCTTTACATGAACATAGAAGATTTGAAGTGCAAAGAAATGTTTATGGACACAAAATCGGCTTTGATATGTCTTATTAGGGTTATCACAAGTTAGGGGAAAACAGTTTTCTGAGAGCTTGTCATATAACTTTTGGCAATAACTAGGATCGCATATCAATCAGTAATTTAATTGGTGATTTTCCCCCAAATAATCTTTATGCTAGAGAGTGATAATTCAATGGTAAAGATTTGTCCAGATAAAATAAGATACTTTCATTTTACCAGAAACATTTTACATAGGAGTACCATGGCAAATCACTTTCAAAGAGTGGGTTTTACAAACACATATATTTGCTGTATTTATCATGAAAATATGAGCATTGTTAAGACCCTTTGTTATAAATAATGCAACTCAGAAGTCCATTTGCAAATATAAGTTAATCAGAAGCCCGGTGCACGGATTCGTGCACTGGTGAGGTCCCTCGGCCTGGTCTGCAGGGATTGGGCTGAAACCAGCTCTCCGACATCCCCCAAGGGTTCCCAGATTGCGAGAAGGTGGTTCTTGGGTAACGCACCCCAGAATTGGGCTCCCTCCTCTCTGGTTCTGGGTGCACCACCCGAGAACCACAGCTGCCAAGTCATCGCAGCTCGGCAGCTCCTGAGTTGAGGGTCTGCCCCCTGGTGGTCAGTACACGTCATAGTTACTGGCCAGTGGGCCGGTGGGCCAGTGTGCCAGTCACTTAGGCTTTTATATATATAGATGGCTATCATGTTCAGTGTAGTGAGGTGCAATACAGAAATCAGTTATCTCAATATGAGACCTGCAGTTCCGTGTGCCATATTATATTCAGTTCTAGATGGGGTTCCTGGTAACCAGTATATTCTTGTACATTTAAATAAGTGGAGATAATCTATGAGGATTGTAATATGATGCTAGTAATATGAAACTTATTCTGTTGATGGGCAGTTTGTGTACCTTTGGAACCCACAGAATGTTTTATCATTTAAAAGCTGACCCATGAGGAAAGGGTGAATAATATTACAGATATCAAATTTTGACTTCCTTCTTTATGTGTGAAATTTAGTAATGGAATGTTTTGTGGTACTTACTTGGAGGTTGTTTGGACATTTATCAGTTCTCTATGTATAGTTTTCTTGAAAAATCAACACCTAAACACATTTTCTGTTGGCAAGTGTTCCCAAAATGCACTTCTGAGGTGGATACAGCCTGGAGCTCTGTTTCCGGCTTCAAGACTGCTATCTTCAGGTGTGGTGCAGTTTAACTCCCTGTCTAAGTGAACAAAAGCAATTTAATCAAAATATTAAGTTGCTGCTTAACTAGTGGGCTAAACTATTTCACATTTAAAGTAATTATACTATTAAAAGCATGTGGTAAGTGTTCATCATTTCATCTAGTAGAGAACTTCAGATTAAAAGAGAGCATGAGAGCATTTGTTTCACACATTTGCATTGAGTGATTTGTTCTGTGGATCAAGATAGTCACAAAAAGAATGATACAAATATTTAGATATCTTCATGTTGAATTTTTA